AGTAGAGAATCTGAAAAGAACTTGAGGTGTGGCATTAAATTTATCTTTTCCCAAATGGGTGAGAGGGATCTGTATTCTCCAAAATTACGTAGCTCATAAAATCAACTATCTGAGACAGCATTACTGGACAAAATTGTCTACACATTCTGATAAAGATAAGTTCCCTCAAGATGGGCTCTAATGTGAATCCAAAAGCTCGGAAGACTAAATCTCTAGTCCCAGTAATCGACCCAAATTAGATCCTGCAACATTATTCTGGGGCACATATATTTGCCTTCATTCCTGAAATTTGGACTGTTCTATTTGGAATTAAAGTGATCTCTTATCAAGAACAAGCATTGCCTCCTTAAATTTACTCAAAGGCCTCCCAGTTTTTCTAAAAAGGAAATGAATCCTGATTTACTGTGCTTAGTTAAATCAGTAGGGTAAATATTTTAAATGGTACTTTTTAAATAATAGATTATAACGTATATTTTTGGTGAATATGTCTATATGGTACAGAGTATTTGAAGTTAAAACATACCCAGATTAAAATATTCTGAGCAATGAAGCTGTTTAGTCCAATCTTCCCCACAAAGTGGCTATGAAAATAAAATGGTGGGGGAAGTCTATGAGCATAAACTGACATGAAATACATAAATATTATTTATTGCATGTTTTTACAGCTAACAGAAAAATCAGATTTCAACAATGACAGAACCTGCCTTTTCTTTAGATAATTTATTTTTTGAAGGACCGGGCCCAAAGCAAATGTAAGTTGGCTCAGTGATTGGTGAAAAATACTGATAATTTAAATTATGGTGTCAATGAAGGCAGATAGGTAATGCAGTATTGGCTGAATACAGAGCTAATCATATATGCTTTCTGTACAATGAAATGCCAATCTCCATTACATTAATTGAATATCTCTGTTTAAAAATGGTTGTTTTAGAAATAATTTAAAGCTGTTACTTTCATCCTTTAGATTCTATAGGCTATACTGATACAGCTTTGAACATTTATTCCACAATAAATAATTTGTTTTATTATATATTTAATACTTTTTGGAGTTTCAATCATCTTACTAATTCATTCTGCATCTAAACTGTTTTCCACATGTAATATAGGTTAGTTGTACAAGCAGAAAACCTGTGGGCTTTGGAATTATGGTTGGCCACAACATAGCAAATTCATATTTAACTGAAGTGGGTTAATATTAACATAAACCTTAAATGTTAAATATAATACTTTTTACTCAAGTGTAATATTAAAAGAGCAAATTTAGAAGTCAATATGTTTGGTTGTTTGGATGGAACATTTTAAAGGTGGTTTTTTTTTTGTGTATGCATATTTTGAAAGGTATCTAGAAAATGAAGAGCCAACAAACTGGGATCTTGCACCTGTTCCATCTGTTTTCGAAATTCCACCCACTCATGAGCTACAAATGGATTTTGCAAAAATTAACCAAAAAGGTAGAATCTGTGATTAGGATTAATATGACAACTCATAAAAGTTAAAATAGAAAATAAAATTTAGTATTTTTGTTTTAGACAGCTTCTCCTGATAATCATAGGAAATTAAATCAAGATGAATATAGATAATATACAATGATGCTTCTATAACTCTATTTAATAATCCTATTTGCTACTTATTCCAGGAGAAAACTCGTTTTTGGCATCAATGGTAATACTCTTCCTTAGACAAAACAGCCTCTGAGCTGCAGCACAAAGGTGTAACTGTTCCAGGAAGCCTCAGCCTAGAGTGCCACATGAAGTCACAGCTGACGCAGCAGTAGGGTGCAAAGCTGCAGCTGCCCCAGGAAGCTCTAGTTCAGTGTTTCTCAACTTTGGTGACTTTAAGTCCTGTGGACTTCAACTCCCAGAATCCCCTAGCCAGCTGGCTGGGGAATTCTGGGAGTTGAAGTCCACAGGACTTAATGTCACCAAGATTGAGAAACACTGCTCTAGTTGCACCAACTAGGCAGTACCGTGTGAATCCATAGCCATCCCCAAACATTGAAATTACCCTACTCTGGCCCAGCAATGCAGCACAAAGCCCTACTGCCTTAGCCCAGTCCCAGTCCCAGTCCCATTTGCCCTCAGTGACCTGCTCTCTCAGGCCTTTCCCAGCCACCCTCCACTCTATTGCCCCAGCCACTCTCATCATCTTCTTGCTCCTGCTGCTGACTAACCATACCCTGCCTGGTTCTTTGTTGGCTAGCTGCTGGTCACATGCAAGCCTATTTTATCATTCTTGTGGTAATTCATACATTTAAATGAATAAAATAAATATTTTTAAATCACACTATGTGATATTTGCTTTGGGGTTGAAATCAGCTCAAAATTATTTATTTTGAATAGAAGGTTCGCATGCTTCAATGTATGAATTTCTTCTGAAATGTCAGTTCTATAAAAAGAGGAGGAATCCCTTTCTTTTAGATTTTCTTCATTTTACCGTGGTGTTCTGAATGTATATTTTAAAGTGAAACCAAGTTTGAATTTATAATTTGCTATGTACATTTTGCAAGAATATTATGCATGACAGATGCATATAAGACATAAAAATGTGTTATCCATGTAAGGTAAAGATAAAGGTATCCCTCGCACATATGTGCTAGTCGTTCCTGATGAGGGGGTGATGCTCATCTCTGTTTCAAAGCCAAAGAGCCAGCGCTGTTCTAAGACATCTCCGTGGTCATGTGGCCGACATGACTAAATGCCAAAAGCGCACGGAACGCTGTTACCTTCCCACCATAGATGGTTCCTATTTTTTTTAACTTGCATTTTTACATGCTTTCTAACTGCTAGGTTGGCAGAAGCTGGGACAAGTAACAACAGCTCTATTATGTGGCGCTAGGGATTCGAATTGCCAAACTGCCGTCCTTTCTGATTGACAAGCTCAGCGTCTTAGCCACTGAGCCACCACGTCCCTTATCCATGTAAATTTTTAAAAAAATGAATACCATATAATCATTATTGAACTGATAGATTAATAACAAGCATGATATTGTGTATTTTAGAAGACTTTTTACAAAGAGAATTATAGTAACTGCAGGCTAAATTTGGGGCAAGAATATAACATTTTGGGGGCAACAGCTTGGAATCAGATCCATTGTTCTCCATGTCTTGATTAGAACATAAGCAGAACTTGTTTTATAGAGTCCTTTGGAAAATAAATATCAATTAATTTTCCAGAAGATGATGGTGATGAAAGTGCTTACTCAACATTCAGGAAAAGGTATGATTCTATGCCAATTTTAATAATTATCAGAACTGTATTACTATTCTTTTAAATGTAAAATATCTGGGAACATTTTTTTTAGTATAGTAGTTGGATTTGCCTTAGGCAAAACACCTTTTATAAGGGTTTAAACACATAATTTAGTTTATTATTTAGTTAAAAACCAGCTGATTTGCCAAAAAGTCTATGGAGATTCTTAATCATCTAGGTCATGGTTGTCCCAAAGATGCTTTTTCTAAAAGGCAATTTGACTTTCTTGTTTTTTTTCTTTGAAATCATCCCAAGAAAGTTCCACATCTGTTTACACTCTGATTCAGATACTTCTGAAAATACAAATCAATCACCAAGTAACCTCAATGACTCTCAGAGAATTAAGTACTGAATCTCAGAGTGCTAACAACCAGATGACTGCAAATAATATAAATCCTTCCATTCCCCACCAGTCAATTAGAACTGAAGAAGCTTCTTGGAAGAGAAGTGAAACATTTCACTTTTGGGACAACTGATTTGCCATCACACTTCAGTTTGCTCACAAAGACATAATCCTGTGGCATTTTACAGGATATAGATTTTGTAACCCAATCTTCATAGAAGTTAGTCATAAAAATTTTACTACATGAATGGGAATGTAACATCCCATTACTGTGGTATTAGAAAGTGGTCTTTGGTGATTTAGGATACTAGATTGTCCTTTTTCAGGAATTTGTTCTGAAAGTCTAAGTAACTTTTAGCTAGGAAGAGTTCATTTTAATGTGAACTTGATGAATCCTGATTCTCAGGAATACATATTTTTAATGTTTAGCAATCATTGAGTTTTTCCTTCATTAAGTATCCAGATATAAACAATGTAATGAAATGAAAACAAAAAAAGGAGTATGTTAGAATAAAATATTTTGTTACCTTCTGTTTTCTTCTTCAGTTCTTTGAAAACTTTGGAATACTTATTCTTGCAATATCCAAATATTATTTTTCAGAAGCTCAGTAGAAATGGATGTTATGGTGGGCTGAAAAAGCAAGATATATATGAGAGATGATCTGAGTAATACCTGTCAACAAGAGAACATACAATACTTACATGTACTGCTAATGGACCAGTCAATTGAATAATCAAAGTTATATACCGTATTTTTCAGAGTATAAGACGCACCGGAGTATAAGACGCACCAAGATTTTGAAGAAGCAAATTTTTTAAAAAAGGTTTTGCACTCTGCAAACCTCCCAAAAATGGCCCATTTAAAAGGGCATGAATAGCCTTTAGGCAGCTTGTAGAGTGCTCCTCGGGGGTGCCCCCCCCAAAAGAGCAAAAAACACCCCCATTTTTTGTCAAAAAAAATGGCTGTGCAGAACCTTTAGAAGGCTTATAGAGTGCACCTGGGTGTGGGCAAAATTGAGCAAAAAAACGGCCTGTTTTTCTCTCATTTCTGCTCTCCCCAGCCCCCAGGAGCATTCTGAAAGCCTCCTAACGGCTTTACAAAGCCATTTTGGTGAAGGGGTGGGGTTTCAGGAGGCAAAAAATGCTGTATTCAGTGTATAAGATGCACCCCGATTTTCAGCCTCTTTTTTGAGGGAAAAAGTTGTGTCTTAAACTCTGAAAAATTCAGCAAGTTGTTTATAAGGTTTTAAAATTAATTATTAGAAACAATGCAACACAGCAAATATATATAATTGTCATATAAAAAGTGTGGTTATGTATATTATAAAAAAAAATCCTTTACATTCCTTACAGATTATTTAAACCAACTTCTTATACATATGCAAATAATGCCAGTACAAAGATAGAAATGGATACATACTGCAATATTATTAACAACAAAGAGATGAAAAAAGACTTATGGAAAAATGATATGCAGATAGCCCAAAATTCAGATTTTAATTATCTTTCTATAAATAATACTTTTTCTGCTTCTGCAAATACAAAAGAAATTAAAAAAGCACCATCATTTCCACGTATTTCAGACATCTCTAGTACGGAAGGTAAATTATATTTTTTTCTACACTTTTTCCGGCAAAAGGTACTTAAATTACAGTTCTCCTGAAACAACTATGAATAATGTATGTTCATGAACAGAATCAGATTCAGAAACAGGTTAATATATTAGAATTATGTAAAACAAAAGTTAGGATTAGGGCTACACTACTTATGTAAAAGATAAATTGGATAAATTAAGTAAATTAGATAAACACAAATCAGAAAAAAAATGAATCGCAAAAAAATATACATAAGCTAGATAGTTGTTGTAATTGGGTACAAGAAAATGCCAGTCATGCAGACTTGAATATTCCTCTATTTTAAGACAAATTGATTATGATTATTTATACCTTCACATATTCTTTTCTCTTTTGCTTCCATTCTTATAGTTTGATCTAGTTATATAGCCATGAAGAAATATTAAAGTATAAGTGGTCCTTGTTTAACAGCCACTCATACAGCGACCATTCAAACTTACAACAATGTTGAATGAGTGATACTTACAGTAGGACCAATGCACAGTTATGATACTGCAGTATCCTGTGGTCATGTGATCACCATTTGTGACCTTATTGACAAGCAAAGTCAATGGGGAAACTGACAGGAGGTTACAAATGGCAGTCACCTAACATGCTTAGCAATAGCATGGGATTCACTTAATGATAGCAACCTGAAGTGCCAGAACTTGTGATCTCATGTGATTTCAGTACCAGTTACCATCATTTACTCAAGACTACTTGAATGACATTTTTAAAAACCTAACTGTGCAGGGATTTGGGGTACAGAGTAGGGGTGGGTTCTGGCTGCTGCTACTGCCGGTTTGCTCAGGGAAGTGCTTCATGCACGCTACGTGCACATGTAAAATGCTTCTGCACATGGGCAGAAGCAAAAAACAAGATGGCGGTGCCTATGGTGCTGCTGAGAGAACCTGTTCGGAGGCATGGCAGGCCAAGTTACTACCTACTCAGCCAAACTGGTCCGAACGGGTAGGAAGCCACCTCTGGTACAATGCTATCAATTCAAAGACATAGGTCTTTTCTGTCTTAGAGGTTTACTTGATAACAAGAAAGAATGGAAGGAATAGTGTGAAAACACAGATGATTACTTACAAAATCCTGTAAATCATGAAAGTTTGATTATATCAGAAAAGCTTTGTTTAGAAGCACCCATCATAGAAGCACCCAGCAACAATTATAAAATTAAGTTAGGGTTAGAAATTATTTACATTGGAATAGTACTATATTTTATTTATGCCTTCAAATAAGCTTTTTACAAGCATTATCTTCTTGTAAATTACATTTTGAGAATATGTTTGTTGTACTGTATAAACCATGGAATCATAATTTGCAGATTTCAAATTAATACAAAACACTTGTCTCACCAGATAACCCTATGGAAAATTTTAGATTCAACAAAAAATGGTCCAAAGTATTTTGTTTTAATTTGATAGTCCTTTCCAGTTCCTGTACAAAAGCTGACTGGACTAGATGTTAAAAGTTTCTCTGACATCAGAAATGGCATATTTGTTTATCATACCAGGAAACAGCTGACAAGTAACTTTCTCCTTCACCACTTCATTGCTATTCCCAGTACTGGTTTCCTCTGTCACTTATTTTATTGATGGGGCTGACTTCAACAATCACACCAACCAACAGCAATGTTACATCATTGCCAATGGGATTACAGCCTGTCCTCAGCATGTCTATTAACCTAGCAAGCTGTAATATTGGCAATTTTTATTGGAAATTTTTCATGTTGTAAACATATCAAGATTTGTACAGGTTATCAATATTTAATCTACCCTCTCCCAGTGATTAATTTGCACAACCAAGTACAACTAGGTCAGAATCTAACCTATTATGTTTTTATTTGTGCTGTTTAAATAAATATTGGCTAAGATCAAGTATAATGTGTATGTGAATAAGAAAGAAAGAAAATTAAATCTAGTATTTGTTTTGTTTTGTTACTAGTAATATCTAAAAATGACTCCGTGGTTTTGAGGCCTGTGACTGAAATCCGTATCCTTTTATAAGTTATTGCTATAACTATATAACATTTCTTGGATGTAAATAATAGCACTTTTAAAATCCAAAAATTCATCATGTGGCAAAGGGATTCCTATATATGGCTGCATAATATCAGGAAAGCTAATTGAGCAAACTCATCATTATGGCAAGGGTCATTATCCACAGTAAACATCTCTATGTTATTCATAGATTGTGTACTATTATATGGCTTTAGCGGTCCACTAGCATGGCAGGGTCATTGGATTAGTTTACCCATATAAATGAATAATGTTTATGTTTGGTAACTTAATCAGAAATTTTATAAATATTTACTATAGAGTTTCGTCAAGACATCTGTTTTCTTCTTTCAGTTTTTTCTTGCATTTTCTCCTTTGTTTTAAGACCTAGTTTATGAAATGAAATAATTGTGGAAAATTAGAAGGTTTTATTCTTATGTTTAGATAAAATTGTACCATGCTTCACTAAATGTCTCCTTAATACAAGTTTTAAGCCACTCAATTTAGAAATATTTTCAAAGAGTTCCCTTATTTTAATTTTATTCAGTCTAAGGCTTTGGATGATGTAAGTATGACCTAATTATTATAATACTGATATTAAACTATTCTTACATTCTCAGGAAGTAATTATAACAAAAACTAAAACAAAAAAATAATCAGACGTAGCCATCCATCCTTAACACCCAAATGCCCTGCAAAATAGTAGGATCTTAAGCACCTTCTTCAAGACCAGGAAGTTAGGGTAGAAATGCAGCATCACACTATATTATGTTCCAGAAATTTGCACATTGTTGTCTTCTATCAAAATATATCTCCGCTAGTACTTATAGCAGCATGCTAAAATCTCAATAAACCTCCTTTTCTCGCTGTGGCCCTTGCTAAAGCAGCAAAGAAATAAATATTTTTAGAATATAATGAGTAAATTTATAAGAAATCTTTTCCAAAATCTCTTTAGATGCCATAATTGCCCAAAACTACAATCGAATGAAGTTTTTAATTTAACGGGATTTACCTTTTAATAAACATTATAAGATCATACCATAAGCAATTTATAAAGGACAATAACGTATTTCAAACTCCTATATTGATAGGAATGTATATGATTAACAAGTTTTATTGTATATTTGTAAAGACAGATTAAAAATTAAAGATATTTATCTGTTGAAAGACTCAAATCCAGGAAGCCCCCACTGCGCAACATCTGCACAACAATTTTAACATTGATTCCCAATGGAAAGTAAAGTGGGTCGCTGAATGCTCAGACATAGGTAGACATATAAATGACTGCACAAAAAAGGTGCCAGACTTTGACCTAACATACCAACAATGGACAATCCTGAGTAGGATTTGTACCTCACACTGCATCTGCCAGCATTCTTTATATAGAAGGCCATAGTATCCTCCCCTCAGTGTGACTACAGGGTCCCACATCAACTGTAGATCACATTGTGACCTGTTATAAGCTGAGGGCATATACCTGTCCAGTATCTGATTTTTTAAATATAAGTGATGCTGTGCTTCAATGGTTAGATAGCCTAGACCAGTGATGGCAAACCTTTTTGTAAAGGTATGCCAAAATTGTGTGTCTGTGTGCTATCGTGCACGCGTGCCCAGACCCACAATGGAATGCACCCCACCCACCTGTGCATGCGTGTGCAACCCCCCCTGGAGCCTCCGAAGCCTGTGGAAAGTGAAAAACGGACCCAACAGCCAACTAGAAGTTTCGAAACAATCCATTTCTGCCTTCTGGAGAGCGCTTCAGGAGGGGCTGGAGGGGGGTGTTTTCACCCTCCCCAGGCTTCAGGAAAGCCTCCGAAGCCCAGGAGGGTGAAAAACAGGACCAACAAGTCAACCAGAAGTTCGGAAACAAACTTCCGGTTGGCCCGTTGGGCTTGTTTTTCTACCTCCCCAGGCTCCAGAGGCTTTCCTGAAGCCCAGGGAGGGCAAAAATGGCCCCCCAGAAGGCTAAAAATTAGCTGGACAGCACACACATGCGCATCGGAGGTGATGACTGGCGTGCCAGCAAATATGGCTCTGTGTACCACCTGTGGCACGCGTGCCATAGGTTCACCATCACAGGCCTAGACATTTATACTTAAACATAGTTCTTTTTAATATTTGTTAATATATATTGCTAGTCCATGTGTGATATGTCATGTGCTAAATAAATAAATAAATTGCATATAATTTTTTCTCCTATGTGCACTATTTCCTCCTTGGACTTGAGAAGTGGTTTTATGTTAGCAATGCTGTTTCAGACCATGCCACATAATCATTTTAAATACCTTATATTCTTCACAATTGTTCAGTGGCAAATGCAAAGAAAGAAAGAAAATATTCTGGTTTAGGCTCCTTTGCTTCTCATGTTTCTTAAAAAGTGAGTTTTTAAAAAGTCAAAATGGATGTTGTTGGCTGTTGTGCTATATTTTACTATTTGTTACTATTTTGTAGATTCTTTACACAGACAGAAATTTTGTAATCTGTGCACCAACTGGTTCTGGGAAAACTGTGATGTTTGAGCTTGCAGTTACCAGATTATTAATCAAAGTGCCAACACCTTGGTTAAATATTAAAATTGTATATAGTAAGTATACTACTTGTTAAAATTATTATTACTGGTCATAAAACTATTTTGTTTTTGCTTGTTTTGGTTATTCCATGTAGCCTTATGGCAGCAAAAAAAACCCCTATGTTTATGTATTTTAATGATGATTTATTTATTTGTTTGTTTTAGAGTTGTGCATAATGTGGTTTTGATTTATCTTTTCATAGGTCTTGCTTTGGAAGGCCCCTTAGGCCAGTAGTTAGAAACTTATGCCCCTTTGTCATATGATTAAGTTAGTAAGGTTGCAGATATAGGAAGATCTTCCTCCAAAGCTTAGTCTTCTGGTCTAAATTTTGCTTCTCTCACTTTATACTGGAAATTCTTCCTACACAGAGAAAAGTGGCCCTTGTTTTAAGCAGGCAGTGATATGTAATGATTGGACTGCACTCTTTCTGCACTGCACAGAGAGGCAGAAATAGTTCTGCTCAAAGAGTGGGATTTTCTTTGCTTTCATTGCCTTTTTCTATTAAAACACTTATTTTGTAAATGTATAGAAACTAACTAAACCAAAAAAGTATGCTCTTTAAAAAACTTTAGAGAAAAGTTTTAAAGAGTATACAGTTAAGACTCGGTGAAAAAAGTAGAAGACATAGTATATGAAAAATCATTGTAGTATATCCCTAAAAGGAATTGGGACATTCAAAGAAATTTGAAGTTGTGAGGGGGGTGGGGGGAGTAGAAAAGTATTGGAGATATTGTACTGGATTTATTTTGTGGGTGTCTTGTTCTCTCACAAAACTTGATATTGTTTTTAGTGGCTCCAATAAAAGCTCTCTGCAGTCAGCGCTTTGATGATTGGAAAGAAAAATTTGGACCCATTGGACTCATCTGTAAGGAGCTAACAGGAGATACAGCAGTGGATGATTTATTTGAGATACAGCATGCTCACATTATTTTGACTACACCAGTAAGTTTCAAAAATTAGTTAATGTTGCTTTGTTGACTAGAAATATTCAGTACCATTCAAGTTATATTTTTGTTTAGAAATAAGTCTGATCAATCTCCAGTTGATTTATCTATAGTTTCACTATGATTTGGTCACAAGGCATGCATGAAAGGCTTCTTTGCTGCTGCATATAGTAGCAACAGCTACACAATGATTATATCTGAAAAGTGAAAATGCAGCATTACTTCATACAATGCATTAGATTACTCTGAAATGCTGTTTGAATTTCATCTGCGGTACTTTAAAAAAAAATGCTGCTAGCTTTTACAAAACAAAACAAAAAAAAACATATTGAAAGAATTGTTAATATTTATAATGCTAAAGCTGATTGCTAGGCATAGGAATAATAGTGATTGACAGTTCCAACAGTATTTTAATCCTATAAAACAGGTGAATTTAGATTGTACTACAATATTATTTTTTTTTCTATTATCCTTTAGGAAAAGTGGGATAGCATGACTAGAAAGTGGAGAGATAACTCTTTAGTTCAGCTAGTGAGACTTATCCTCATTGATGAGGTAAAGTAGTAACTGATGACTTAAAATATAATGATGGAAAGCAGTAGATGTTTTAGATGTTGTATTTAATTCCGTAGGTACATGTTGTAAAAGATGAGAGCCGGGGTGCTACTCTTGAAGTTGTGGTCAGCCGGATGAAAACTATTCAGTCTTCTTTTCTACAAAGTTCTGACAATCCTAGCACAGTATTTCCCATGAGATTTGTGGCAGTTTCTGCAACGATTCCAAATGCAGAAGACGTAAGAAACATGAATTAACTTTTTTTAATATGTTATACTTTATACTTAAGATTTCAAAAAGATTTTTCTCTCTCTTTTCATCTGCTTGCTATCCAAAATCAAATGTATCAAAAAGAAAGGAAAGGAAAGGACAATTATAGTACTTTGAATTTAAAAAGCTATGCTGATTGGGCAAACTCTGTAGTTCTCTCATATTTGTTGAATATAGATACAGGTTACAGTACTGGCAATCTAATTATGACAATCTAATTGTGTTCCAAAATGCATTGATGTGTCATAAGTTTGTAATGTACAGTATGTGCTCAGCACAGTGAATGTTTCTGTTTCACACTGTCATCTCTATTCAATTGTACAAGTCAGTGTCTACTCTTAGCATAAGCTAGCATAAGCATAGCTAGACTAGTGCCTTCAACTCTTCCAGTAGTAGCTTTTGCATAATATGTTCAATATATTACAATTTCAATGTCATTTTGACCTGAATTGAGAATTCTGGATGACTATTCTATGAACCATTTGTTTGTTTTATGGGCTATTCATGATATGATCAAGAGTTTTCTCCAACACCAAAGCTCAAAAATGGCCAAAACGTTTTCTGTCCAGCATATTCAAAGTCCAACCTTTGTTTCCATAGCCTGTCCTGGGGGGAACTATTGCTAACATGGTTCTGGTCTTCGTAGGTAGGACTCTTCACAGCACCTTGCCAAATAGTTGATTCATTTTATCTTTCACTGTGTTGAGCTTTCCTATGTTTATGCTTCTGACAGTCCATATTCCCACAGTAGCTCTCTTTTTGCAGCTTTGGTTTTTTTTGTTCCTGTGTAGCAACATTAGCATAATGTACCATTTGTACTGCAAAAAATCTCAAGCTTTTGCTCAATAGAATATTTAAGTGCTATCCAATCTGAAAGAGCCAGCACTGTATCATCAATTACTTCATTTTGTCTATCCACATGATTTTCTTAGTAAAATGTGTGTTTATCTTTACTTTCTTTCACATTGTATAAAATTATCCATTTGCTATTGTCACTAAAATGATCTTCCACCACCAGCATGTTCCTACACTGTTGCTGCTTGTTTAACCTTGGATGACCTTTTTGGGACTTGGCATACAATCCCTACATTGTTCACTTCTCCCTTTTTTTTATTTACTTACTTATCTCCCTTGCAGGAACACTCCCCATCATAATGAGGCAGAACAGGAAGACTTGAAGGGAGAATTATATATTCACAGCTTCGTTTTCTTCCTAAAACCTCAGTCAGCAAGGTTTTTGCATCAATTTTAGTCCAATAGTATACTGCTTGGTAATTCACATCCTGATCCTTTCTCCTGCTTTGAGGGAATACATTTGAGTGTTTCTGCTGCCAGCATCTATTTTCCAGGGGACACTTCATCTGATGTTCATACCATGAACTATTGCATTTGCAACTTATTCCACTGGTTAAGGGCTCATTCAATCAGTTTTGTCCCTCATGATGTCTAGCCTGAATCTGTTTCACTGTAGCTATACCAATACAATACAATAGCAGAGCTGGAAGGGACCTTGGAGGTCTTCTAGTACAACCCCCTGCCTAGGCAGGAAACCTTATACCGTTTCAGGCAAATGGCTATCCAACATCTTCTGAAAGACTTCCAGTGTTGGGGCATTCACAACTTCTGGAGGTAAGTTGTTCCACTGATTAATAGTTCTAACTGTCAGGAAATTTCTCCTCAGTTCTAAGTTGCTTCTCTCCTTTATTAGTTTTCACCCATTGCTTCTTGTTCTACACTTAGGTTCCTTGGAGAATAGTTTGACTTCCTCTTCTTTGTGGCAACCCCTGAGATATTGGAACACTGCTCCCCTAGTCCTTCTTTTCATTAAACCAGACATACTCAGTTCCTGCAACCGTTCTTCATATGTTTTAGTCTCCAGTTCCCTAATCATCTTTGTTGCTCTTCTCTTTCTGGACTCTCTACATCTTTTTTACACCGTGGCAATCAAAACTGAATGCAGTATAAAAATTGGCCTTAACAAGGCATTATAAAGTGGCATTAACACTTCACGTGATCTTGAATCTAACCCTTTGCAGTTCTAGCA